GGGGATACAGTCTGTTTGGAGACAAGTTTTGATTATGATTTTTTATTATCTTAAAAGATCCTTCAACTTTGATTCCTGAAAGAAATTTCGTCATGATTGCTTGCTCTGTTTTTTTGATCTTTACTCCTGTGGAGTTTGGGAGGGTACTGGTTACAGGTTGGGAGTGATTTCATACTTACAAATAGGAACTCTAGGTACACTCTGAAAACGGGAATCTTGGCAGCGGGGGAAACAAGCTCTTTCATGGTGAATGCTGATAACTGTGGGATAAATTCGTGAAACTTTGGGTAAGTGGAAAGTGGCCTTCTGTGATTGGGCCAAGATCCCAGAACTCTGAGAGACTGAGGCGCGAGGGTCCTGTGAGCTTAGGACTTTGAGACTAGCGTTGGCAACGTGGTGAAACCCTATCTCTACAAAAAAGTACAAAAAATTAGCTAGGTGTGGTGGTACACACCTGTGGTCCCAGCTACTTGGGAGGCTGAGGTGGGAGGATCACTTGAGCCCAGGATGCACCACTGTACTCTAGCCTGGGCGACAGAGTGAGACTCTGTCAAAAAAAAGAAAAAAAAAAAAAACAATTATTGACTTTAAGAATACTTAGCCTGTATTCCCAATGTGGGAAGAAAAGAATGTCATGGTGGATCAGTTCAGGGAGCCATGTGCTGATTTGCCCTTAGGACCAATGACTAAACTGATTGGAGTTTGTAGACAAACCCAGGTCTGAAGATTTTAATCAAAGAGGGGAACAAAGGCTACTTCTTATTTTGCCATGTACTATATTGCCCAGAGAGAGGTCCTCTGCTTGAGACAGAAGAAAGACGAGCATGGCCCAGAATAGTGATAAAGAGCTGATAGAAATGATTAAGGATGTTGCAATATGTGGAGTTATTCATACGTAGGAAAGTAGTGGCATAATGAGCCAGATAACACGCATTCCCATGGCACAGTTTCCTTCTGTGAAAGCTCAGATATTAATACTGATATCTAACAATTATGTATTGCATTAACTCATTTAACCTTTTTTTTGAGACGGAGTTTCACTCATGTTACCCAGGCTGGAGT